TTCTTCAGTATTTCTCATCTTTTTTTCCCCCAAGAATTTGTAGGTATAACTTCAGTAGCAGAAATATCCCAAAATTTGTTTACTACAATAATAAACTTATGTATGACCTTTCAAATCAAGTGAAAAGTCTGACTCATCTTTCCTTACCAAACTCTTTCTGTGTCTGACCTAAAACTATCACAGATAAATAGTGCTGAGTCCTTTGATGTGTAAATAATCTTCAGAACCTAGCATATCCATCAGCACCAAGAGAAAGTATAGACCCTTCAGTGCTTTTAGTGCATGCCCTTTACACTTAGCAACCACGTGGATTACTTAGTTTCCTCATATTTGGGGGTTAGTTCAGCCATTCTAGTTTATGTGGCAAAAATGAAAATTGATAAAGCAATAATTTTTTTAAGCATTTTTGAAGTGATTTTTGTGTCCAGCATGAATCATTTCTGATATAGTGTGTCAGTATTTCAAGAAAAAATGTCATTGAATTTTATTCAGATATGCTACACACTCATTTTAATAAATTTGGATTGTTTTTCCAAAGAAACAGAAATTTTCAAAGTGACAGGAAAAGACTATAATTTTTGCTATACCCTTGCTTCATATTTTTTTGAGGATGTTTATTAATCCTATTTCTAATAAACTTATAGTTTTTCTTTCTATAATTTTTTTCTGGGTGAATTATTTTCTAAACAATGAGTAATGTCATTTAAAACTATCCTGTCTAATTTTCCACTTAATATAACTGATGCATTTTTAATTCATAATGAGTTAATGATATAACTAATCTATTATGCAAGTATACAGTACAAGGATAAAAGTAATTCTTTTTATTTAGAGTGATGCAGGAAGCCCTGAAATAGACTATTCAAATCCTAGATGATCAACAGAATGTGAAAATTATGCTAATTCCTTAAATAATTTTTTCTTACTAAAAATATTGTTTAAATATTTTTAAATACTTTAATCAGCAATTATGTAACTTGTTATTATAAAGAATGGAGCAGTTTCACAATCATATATATATATTATTCTTATTCACTTTTTATGGTACTTTTATTGAGATATATGTTACATAACATAAAATTCCACATTTTAAAGTATATACTTCAGTGATTTTTAGTTTATTCACTGTGTTATGAAACCATCACAACTATGTAATTCCAGAATATTTTCATCACTACAAAAAAGGAATTCCATACCTAATAGTAATTAGTCCCAATTTCTCCCTTCCTCCATCTCCTGAAAACCACTAAATCTACTTTCTTTCCATATGGATTTGACTATTCTGGACACTTCATATAAATGTAAACATATCCTATTCATTCTTCAAGAGTAAGAAATTCAGTTTTATTCAGGAATCTCTGATTTACAAGGAGGTTCACTCAAAATCCTTAGCAGCTTCTTGTCCTTTTTCTGATTTAGTACATAACCAGTGGTGGTGCCTAGCACACTCTTCATTAACAGGTGGATCATAAGTGTATAGAGATACTGACTCCCTTAGTTCTCCTAGTGGTCATGCATATTCCAGGGCAGCTGGAGTCCCTGGTAACTCCATTTTCCAGCAGCTTCCTATGTTTCCTCTAGCATGTCATACAGATTTTATTTTTCACTAAATGGCATAGTTAAAACAGATTGAGAAGCATGGCTATAGTTGTTTTGAGAAAATGTCTATTTGATTGTTTCTAGTAATATGAGCCTCAGGAGCCAACTTTGGAAATCAGTCTATCTGAGCTTCTTTTCTACAAATAATACAAATATTCAAGTGGTTAGAGGGAGACCTACGTGGTTAGAAGCAAGCAGAGAGACATGAATAAAAAAGACAATATTTAGAAACCTTTGTGTATATACTAGATATTTTATAAAAGTTGCGTGCAACTGAGTATTGTAAATTCAGTTAGAATTGCCTATTTTAAGGAATTTTTTTCTAAACACAAATCCTTTTGTAATGTAAAAATCTATCCTCTAACACTTCTGAGTTTTTCTTAAAACTAGCCAATTTTACATAACCAATTAATAATGATAATTATTGTAGTAGCTATCATCTTACAAACTGCTATGATTTAACGGGGAATAATTTTTTAAAATGTCACCCAAATAATTCACATAACTGAATTAACTGTTAGATTGAAGTGGATTTGTTTAGTTCTAAAACATCAATTGTTAAGTAATAAGTTTGGGGGAGTGGAGAGTATTTTTCTTTTCTAAGTTTAGGAGTTTAAAATAAATTTTTGTTTTTATCCCATTTCTTTATATTTACCTCTCTTTGAACTACTTTTAGAGTTTGAAAAATAGCTATATTAGACTATAGATAAAATTAGTAGGACAAATAAGATTGTTGTAAGGATTAACTGGGTTAATACATGTACAACACTTAAAGCAGTACCTACCATGGTGTAAGCACCTTTTAAATGTTAAAAATGTTATTGGCAAGCCCTCCATTCCAGACTGGTTGTGATAACCTTTTACCTGTTTTCAGAGGAAAAGTTCAGCTTTTTAAAAACACCTAGTTATTTTAACATTGTTCCTCGCTTTGATTTCCCTAAGTTCTTCAGTAGGTGGTAAGTATGGGATATAAATACTTCAAGCATATCTCAGTCACTAGGCAAGAATATTTTGGTCTGAAAAGCTAATTTTCAAATATATAACTATATACCTACTTCCTATTCTTTTTCTCTTGAATGTATAGAAGTAAAGAGAGGAAGAAAAGGGAATAGGTTTCTATGTAGATGTCAACTCTGTTCAATTAAAACCAGCTATCCTGAGCAAAGTTGAGATTATGAGGCTGTCCTCCAGCTCAGTGGGAAGGAGTCACATGATTCTAACTGCTGCTCTGAGTATAGAGTGAGAGTGACATTACAAACAGATTATATTTCCCATCTCTGATTTAGTATAGTTGGTAACCAAAGTCTCATGTGACTGTAGATATAAATACTTGGACAGGGATATAGATAAAATTGGTTTTGGTTCTGAGTCTTTTGGTTCTAAGTGAGTGTGGTACTGTTGTAGTTCAAATAACATGCAGAATTGAAACACAGGGCTATCACCCATATAGGCCTTATATGACTTAAATGGAATTCCCTTGGTATAATCACTGTGTTTGGTTGGCCTGGTGCTTAGATTTTTAGACTCAGAAATTCTGTTGTTTCTATGCACGCAGGATATTAGACTCTAGGGGACTGACTGTTATTGAAAAAAAATTCAACAAACTAAAAAATAAGAACCAGAAAAACAGTTTATTATTGTGTAATAGAGAAACTCATCATATATACCAGATAGTTGTGTTTATGAATAACTATGAGAAAGGGAGTTAAGGAAGATTTTTCTGCCTGGGCCTAGACTCTAGAGGTGGGGATGGGGTGGGGGCAGGGAATCTTCCCCGAGAAGTTATAAGCCCAGGCCCACTCTCATGTAGATTTGATATATTGACAGGATTGTCTGGGAACCTCCAAGCCAAGAAAGTAACATATAAAGTGCCTACTAAAGTACTTGGCAATGCAAGTACATCGACACATAAAACACTCTGAAGAGAGCCACTCCCAGCTCAGATTACAAAGTATTTCCTCAAATTAAGCTCTGAACTCAAAATCTAGAATTACAAAACACACAGGGAAATAGTTGACTAAGAGAAAGAGGAGACAAAAGAAACATCAGGATTATATATGTAAGAACCTCAAATAATAAATTTATCAGATAGACACTTAAAATAAATGTTTAAATTATTAATGACTCAAATCTCGGTACCTGAGGTATTATACACACAGTCATATGAAGAAATAAGCTTATTGAAGTTAAAAATTCATGAAATTACATTATATTAGACACATGAAGAGAGAAAAAGTTAACTTGATTATAGATGTTAAGGGATTATCCAGAATGTAGCACAGGAAGAACAAAAATTTGTAAAAATATGAAGGAGAGAGATAGTTCAATATATCTAATAAGATTTTCTAAAGAGGAGAACAGAAAAAATAAGAGGCTACCAAAGAGATAATGGCTATCATTTTTCATAAATAAGGCAACACATGACTCTTCAGACTCAGGAAATATAAAGAGTCTGAAACAGGAAAAATTTTAAAAAATCACACCTGGACATAGCATGTAAAATTGCTCAAAACCAGAAATAAAGAGAAAATGTTAACAGCAAGAGGGAAAAGATGACTTACAAAAGAACAATAATAAGCTGATAGTGGGTTAATATTTTTAAAATGCTGAGGTGATTTAAATGACAATTAGAATTCTCTACCCAGTTAATCTATCACTGAGTTTATCATTTCAGGTTGAAATAAAGACATTTTTAACTCTTAGGAGAATTTACTACTAATAGAACCTCACTGAATAAACTTGTAAAAGATGTTCCCTAGTAAGAAAGGAATTTAACACAGAGAAAGGGATAAAATACAAGGGGGAAAAATGTTTGGTGTGGGGAGTATAAAAAAACAAATCATTATTTCCACATCTAATGTATTTTTCCTTGGGTGTGGATTATATGTAGGATTTACTATTATTAAAAACATTTCCCTAAGGGTCTAGATCAGTGGTTCTCAACCTGTGGGTCTCGACCCCTTTGGCGGTTGAATGACCCTTTCAAAGGGGTCGCCTAAGACCATCCTGCATATCAGATGTTTACATTACGATTCATAACAGTAGCAACATTACAGTTATGAAGTAGCAACGAAAATAATTTTATGGTTGGGTCACAACATGAGGAACTGTATTTAAAGGGCTAGAAGGTTGAGAACCACTGGTCTAGATGTAATAAGAGCTGAGTTCACCTTGAGTTACAAAAAATTAAAAAATACTTTTTAGAAGTGAAACATTTTATTAATGCTTAACAAAACACAAGATTAACAGTGACTGTTTCTAAACTGTAGTATCAGAAGTTTGAGGTTTTTTTCTTACTATTTTCAATATTTTCTAGTTTTATAAATGAACATATTTATTATTTTAGTTAGATATAAAATACTTCTAAAGAGACATTTAACAGTAATTCTTCTTTCATTTAGATCAAATCCTTTTTATGAACCTAAACCAACACCTCCTCCAAATAATTTGATAAATCCAATTCAAGAACTGGAAAGTGAAAAGAGAGTGAAAAGAAAAGCCCCAGCCCCACCAGTCATCTCACCAAAGATGGGAGGAGTAAACGAAAATACAGTTGTTTCTGCAGGAAAAGATCTCTCCACTTCTCCTAAGGTAGGGGTTTATTCTTAGTAAAACATGTGTTAACATTTGTGCTTTTCACCATGCAATTTAATTAAAATTAAGAAAAGTCATTGTTAGCTTTCTTTGATGATTTAAAAATAAACTTCAACTAAGTTCGTTATACTGAAACAGGATTGTCTGGGAACCTATATGGGAAACTATATGTTTATAGTATAACTAGAGGCCCGGTGCATGAAATTTGTGCGGGGGGGGGGGGGGGCATGTCCCTCAGCCTGGCCTGTGCTTTCTCGCAATCCAGGACCCTTTGGGGGATGTCCGCCTGCCGGCTTAGGCCCACTCCCTGTAAGCTAGCAGTCGGACATCCCTCTCACAGTCCAGGACCCCTCGTTCCTTACCGCCCGCCTGCTCGCTGCTCCTTACTGCTCGCCTCACTGCTCCTTAGTGCTTCCCGCCACCGCTGCTGCACTCACCGGCCATGAGCCTGGCTTCTGGCTGAGTGGCGCTGCCCCTGTGGGGGCACACTGACCACCAGAGGCAGCTCCTGTGTTGAGCATCTCCCACCTGGTGGTCAGTGCTCATCATAGCAACCGGTTGTTCTGGTTGTTCCGCCGTAACGGTTGTTTAGGCTTTTATTATATAAAAGGTACTCCCTCCCTTCCCCCAGCTGCCTGCTGCCGCTGCTGCCAGCCAAAGCCTGCATCCCTTCCTCTGGCTGGCCCCGCCCCCTGGTCGAATTCCCAAACAAACTCCAGTTCGAGGGGACAATTTGCATACTACGCTTTTATTATATAGGATGGATTCGATAGTTTGGGTTAAGTTTCGTTTTTTAAAAGCTATTTTGAAATCAGAGGCATTACAAGTATGTGGTTCGTGATTTAAACAAAGGATACCTAATGCCTCTAGCTAGGTGTGAAGGACAGCTTACACTGATACAGAAGGAGTAGAAGTCATCCTTTGGGAAATACCTTGGAAAGATTAAGGCTCAGTGCAGAGAAAAGCTTTGTTGAAGAATTTCAATAGTGTCACTTTGATATATGTCAACTTATAATTTTGGCTTTATTGTCCTTATTTTTTAAGTAAATTTTAATGCATAATGACTATGTGGAAAGTTAACAGTATTAGAACAAAGTCTGAAGCTTTTAAATGGTTTGTTTGCAAATAGTATGATAGATTCCATATGTAAGGTAGAAATGTTGGATTTAGCAAGTGTTTTGGGGGTAAATAGCTTGCTCATCTACTCATGGGTGTTTTGGTGTTGTTTTGTTACCATATTACATTATGTAATTCTCATGGGTAGTTAAGGGAAAAATAAGATGATCTCAAACTCAGATAAAGTAAAGGTCACAGGTCCCCCAGCCAGGATTGGAACAGGCATTTTTATTAATTGTGTGATGTCTGGGTTCTACTCCTCATGAGATGCCTAGGCTGCTGCTTTTCTTGAGGGCATCAGAGTTTTCTCTTGGATTTTTTTTTTTACTTTATTCAGTGGCTTTCATTAAATGCCAGTGGCTTTCATCAAATGAAATAGCTTGTTTGCCTGTATTTTCTTTTTTCTTTTTTTAAATTAAATCTTTATTGTTCAGATTATTACAGTTGTTCCTCTTTTTTCCCCCCATAGCTCCCCTCCACCCAGTTCCCACCCCTCCCTCCTCCTTCACCCCCCACCCCCACTGTCCTCATCCATAGGTGCACGATTTTTGTCCAGTCTCTTCCCGCATCCCCCACACCCCTTTCCCCCCCAAAAAATAGTCCACTCCCTTTCTATGTCCCTGATTCTATTATAATCATCAGTTTAGTCTGTTCATCAGATTATTTATTCACTTGATTTTTAGATTCACTTATTGATAGATGTGTATTTGTTTTTCATAATTTGTATCTTTAGCTTTTTCTTCTTCTTCCTCTTCTTCTTAAAGGATACCTTTCAGCATTTCATATAATACTGGTTTGGTGGTGATGAACTCCTTTAGCTTTTCCTTATCTGTGAAGCTCTTTATCTGACCTTCAATTCTGAATGATAGCTTTGCTGGGTAAAGTAATCTTGGTTGTAGGTTCTTGGCATTCATCACTTTGAATATTTCTTGCCACTCTCTTCTGGCCTGCATAGTTTCTGTTGAGAAATCAGCTGACAGTCGTATGGGTACTCCCTTGTAGGTAACTGACTGTCTTTCTCTTGCTGCTTTTAAGATTCTCTCTTTGTCTTTTGCTCTTGGCATTTTAATTATGATGTGTCTTGGTGTGGTCCTCTTTGGATTCCTTTTGTTTGGGGTTCTCTGTGCTTCCTGGACTTGTAAGTCTATTTCTTTCACCAGGTGGGGGTAGTTTTCTGTCATTATTTCTTCAAATAGGTTTTCAATATCTTGCTCTCTCTCTTCTTCTGGCACCCCTATAATTCGGATGTTGGTACGCTTGAAGCTGTCCCAGAGGCTCCTTACACTATCTTTGTATTTTTGGATTCTTTTTTCATTTTGCTTTTCCGGTTGGGTGTTTTTTGCTTCTTCGCATTTCAAATCTTTGACTTGATTCTTGCGATCCTCTAGTCTGCTGTTGGAACTCTGCATAATATCCTTTATTTCTGTCAGTGTATGCTTAATTTCTAGTTGGTCCTTTTTCATAACATCGAGGGTCTCACTACATTTATCCGCGGTTTCACCAGACTTTTTGAGGGTCTTACGAATTTTATCGGTGGTTTCTAGAAAGTTCTTGAAAAACCTTAAAAGTGTGATTTTGAACTCTATATCCAGTAGTTTGCTTTCCTCCATTTCTGTCATTTGTGATCTGTTTCTTTGTCTCCCCATTTTTTATGCTTCCTTGTGTTGATAGAGTGGCTTTCTGTGCTAGGTGTCCTATAGGGCCCAGTGGCTCAGCCTCCCCAATTACCTGAGGTGGACACTCTTGGTGCACCCCTTTGTGGGCTTTGTGCACAGTCTTGTTGTAGTTAAGCCTTGATTGTTGTAGGTATCACTGGGAGGAATTGACCTCCAGGCCAATTGGCTGTGAGAATCAGCTGTGTCTACGGTGGGAGAACTTCTGTGCTGAAGACACCCTTATGGGGCAAGACTTGCTTCAGTGGGGCTTTGGTGCTCACTGAGTCTGCCCCCTGAGTGTGTCCCTTATGGATCTGAGGAGTTGTAATCTGGCTCTTGGATCTAAGGAGGTGCTAATTTAGCCTCTGCCTGAGGCTACCCAGCAGGTGCTACGAAGAGATCTGCAGATTCCCCTTCCTTGTTTGGGGTTTGGAGGTGCCCAGATGAGGCCCAGCTGTGAAGCAATGCAAGCTGCTGTGGGGCCTTGGGCCTTCTCTTGGAAGTTCTGGGTCTCTCTGACCCAGCTGCAGTTTGTTAGGTAATTTTCAGATTGCAAAGGGCCAGGGCATTCATATGCAAAAGCCTCTGCCACAGCTTGGTTGGGGCAGGGTCTCAGGGGATCAACAGGGTGGAGCAAACAGCTATGGCTGATCCTCAGCCCTGCCCTAAGAGGCCTCCCGTCTCCGTGTCCCGGTAATCGCTGCAGGCACCTCTGAGAGGAAGCCACCCTCGAGTTCTGAGTTCTGCCCGCTGCCAGACAGTCCAGTTTCTCCCCGTATGAGTCTGGGTCCTCAGAGACTTCCCGGAACTGGAGTTCAAAGCAGTCAGGGGCTTGAGACTCCCTCCCGATTCAAAAAAGACAGCCGCATCCTCAGTTGCCAGCCTTATCGCATGCGCCTCCGTACCTCTGCACTTTACTTCCGCACCTCCTCTGAGTCTCAGTGCTTTTCTCTTTCCTTCTAGTTGTAGAATTTCCACTCAGCCAGCCTTCCTGTGGTTCTGGATGATGTCCGTTTTGTCTTTTAGTTGTATTTTTGAAGTTGTTGTGGGAGGCAGCAATTTCCGGTGTTTACCTATGCCGCCATCTTGGTTTTTCCTGTTTGCTTATATTTTCATTGGGGAGATCAAGTTCACTGAGGTCTTTACTGTGCTATTCCAAAAGTCAGTCTCTAGGTGTTTGTTTTTATATCATATATATATATATATATATATATATATATATATATATATATATATATATATTTTTGTACCCTATAACTTTAAGGGGAGAAACTAGAACTAAATTGTGTCCTTTAAGGGGAGAAACTAGAACTAAATTGTGTCCTACAGTTGTCTAGGGCAGTGGTTGGCAAACTCATTAGTCAACAGAGCCAAATATCAACAGTACAACGATTGAAATTTCTTTTGAGAGTCAAATTTTTTAAACTTAAACTATATAGGTAGGTACATTGTTATTAACTTAATTAGGGTACTCCTAAGGCTTAGGAAGAGCCACACTCAAGGGGCCAAAGAGCCGCATGTGGCTCATGAGCCGCAGTTTGCCGACCACGGGTCTAGGGCAAGGGGTAGGTGTCGGGGACTCTACATGAAAGTAGCAAGTGGTGGAAGTGTAAAGCAAAGGAGATGGCCAAGTTCTGTACCCATGGTGGGGGAAGAAGAAGACCGTAATAGGGATGCTAGTCAGAATCAAGAGCTAGTTAGGTCCTTTATCCAGTCGAATCATCAAGAGTACCTAAACCTATTACCCCCTATTACCCCGAATCTACTTCATGACCTACTTCCTGTCCCATCTTTTTTTGGAGTCCAATCAAGAGTTTGAAGCTAATCAAGAACTCCTAATCTCTTTGTAAGGAAGTGGAAAGGAACTTAATAGTGCCTATTGTGTGGCAGACAATATTCTGTTACCTCGTTTGATCCATAGAACAACCTGAGAAATACATACCATTATCTTCTTTTTATATATAAGAAACTGAATCTTAGTTAAGTAACTAGTAGTGACAGTGCCAGGATTAAAGTTCAAGCCTTATGAGTCTAAAACCCATACTTTTCCCACTGTACCAGTCTACCTCTAAAGAGGTATTTCCAGTTCAAAATTGGAACTCTTAATACTTTTTTTCATAGAAACATTATTATATATGGTGATTAAATTCTGTTGTAGTGAAGTATAACATGGCTATTTTTTACATTTTTTGAGGATAATGTTTTATTGCAGATACATCATGAAAT